ATCTTAGTTATGGTAAATAATACTGCAATCAACATAGTTGTGCTGGTAGCTTTAGTATGGTCTTGTTTGTGATCATTTGGGTAAATGCATAAAAGTGGGATTGCTGGGTAATAGGGGAGCTCTATGTGGAGTCTTTTGAGGAATCTCCATACTACTTTCCAAAGTCGTTGAACAAGTTTACACTTCCACCAACAATGCAGTAAGGTTCCTTTCTGTCCACATCCCCTCCAGCATTCTGTTGTTTAATTAGAGTTCTTGATTCTAGCCATTCTAACTGGAGTGAGGTGGTATCTCAATGTTGTTTTGATTTGCATTTCTTTTATGGCTAGGGAGGTTGAACATTTCTTCATGTGTCTATTGGCCATCCTTCTTTCCTCTCAGAAAACTCTCTAAGTCTTTAGCCCACTTATTTATTGGGCAGTTGTTTCTTTGATTATTTGTTGTTGGGGGATTTAATTTTTTGACTTCCAGGTATATTTTAGAGATGAGACCCTTGTGCTTTGTATGGCTAGTGAAGATCTTCTCCCAATCCATGGGCTTTCTATTGATCTTGCTAGCTATGTCCTTTGCCATGCAGAAGCTCTGCAATTTCATGCAATCCTGTTTGTCCATCCTTTCTTTGATTTGTTGTGTTTCTGGGTCTCTATTAAGAAAATTTAGGCCTGAGCCAACCAGACCTAGAGTTTCTCCTAATCCATCCTGTAATGTTTTCAGAGTGTCTGCTTTGACTCCGAGGTCTGTGGTCCATTTGGAGTTGATTCTGGTGCAGGGTGATATATAAGGATCTAGCTTTAGTTTTCTACAAGTGAGTAACCAATTTTGCCAGCACCATTTACTGAAGAGGCTATGTTTCTTTCATTCTATTTTTTAGCTCCCTTATCAAAGATTAGATGGCTATATGTGTCTGTAGGTTCATTTCTGGGTTTTCAATTCTATTCCATTGGTCCTGAGGTCTGTTCTTGTGTCAGTACCAAGCTGTTTTGATTACTATGGCTTTATAGTAGAGTTTGAAATTTGGTACTGATACTCCTCCAGCGTTGTTCTTTCTGTTAAGGATAGTTTTTGCTATTCAGGGTCTTTTATTGTTCCATATGGATTTTTGGATTGCCTCTTCTATTTCCTTGTAGAATGAGGTTGGAATATTGACAGGTATCACATTGAATTTGTAGATAGCCTTGAGAAGTATTGCCATTTTCACAAGGTTGATCCTTCCAATCCAGGAGCAGGGGAGGTTTTGCCACTTTCTAAGTTCTGTTTTGATGTCCTTTTTCATGCCCTCCACTTCTGAATACTCTTTCCTATCATCTCCTTCTAGAATATCCAACATCACAAACCATTTTCTTCCTACCTCTGCAGATGCTCTACTTCTTTTTAGCTCGTCATTTGGTATTTTTATTTTATTTATCTCTTGTATGCATGGATGTCTGTTCATGCATCCTACTTATCTTTACTCAAAGATTATACATAAGTCAGGGGATGAGATGTTCTCTACATCATAAATTTAATTGTATCCTTTATTCCAATTGTTCTAAGAAAACCTGCATATTCTTATATCACTTATTTTTTTAATTTTGTTCAAAACAGAAAATAATATTTAATGATTTTGTTTAGAGCATGGGTGCCAACCAGGTTCTGAAAATAATCCAAGAAATCAAGCAAAAGGGTAAGGTAGAATGTTGCCCATAGTGTTGAGGTCCAAAATATGGAAAGCATATCCTCATTATGACAAGTGAAATAAGATCTCAGGCTGTTTAAGTTAGAGTGCAATGTGTTAAGGTTGTCTCCACAGAATTGTACAAAATTGGGAACAACTTCAGTGCACACACACACACACACACACACAGAAGCATACACACAAAGTTCAGGTTGACAAGGATTAGCCAGAACTAATATTGGTACAGTACACACTAGTAGGACTAAGGCACACACAAAGGAACAAAGATAATTGTGGGCAGGAAAGGGCTATAAGGGCTAACATAGTTGTAGAGCCATGTGAAGTAAATTGTCTTCAAGAGGAGTATAGGTGACACATACAGTAGGAAATTAGTATTAAAAGGAATTAATCAGATATTGAAATTCAGCAAATATAATTAGAAACAAGATTTTCAATGTTGCAAAAGTATTACAGAAATAAAATGGAGAATACTGGAATAAACTCTGATTTGGGGTTGTAATTAAAACCTAGAATACAATTTCTTTGTTTTATAGAAATACTAATTAAATGTATATTTATAGAATGAAAGTGTAAAAATACATCATAGATCAGTCGACTGTATAGATAAATACACAGAGGCTAGAGCTTCCTAACACAGAGAGAGTGAAAATTTTAGTGCCACATCTAATTTTCTAAATGATCTTTAAGTAGTTGTACAAAGGAGTTGCCATTTAACAAAGACAGTTATGAATATTATGTACCTTGGTCAATGTCACCCCTTTCAATGTTTTCCCCTACCCCCTTACCCACTCTGACCCTTTCTATCTTAATTTTGTGGTCTTTAATTTAAATTTCTTGATTGCATTTCCCCCCTTGCCTTGTTCTCATCTTTATTCATCTCCCCTTGACTCTACTACGGCTCTTGCAATTACCAATTTTCTAGTGGTTAGTTTGCTGGGCTTTGTCTTGCTTTTCTAAGGAATTACACTATTTAAATTCTCCTTTGAAAGTACTATATTTCCGACATAATATCTTGTATATCTCATTGTTGCAATGGGTCCATGGAGGGTGGTGATGGTGTGTAGGGGGGTGGCATGGGAAGGGGGATAGGGGAAGGGATGGGAAGGGGAAACAAAGGAGGAGGCAAAAATTCTTGATAAGAAATGTACTCATCACCTTGTCCATGTAATTGTAACCCCTCTGTATGGTACTTTTACAATAAAAAATGTTTTTAAGTACTATATTTAATGCAATCAGTTACATACTTTTACTTATGTCTATAGGCTAATTATAGCTGCCATATATGAAAGAAACCATGCTCCTTACTCTACTTTCTAATATACTTGTCTCTAAAAGAATAAGTCAATATTTATTGGAGAAATGGCTAGTTTTAGGTGTAAGACAGGGAAATTATTCAATAAGCTTGGCTAATCTGGTGCCAAAATTTAAGGAAATGGCTTGGTATGTTGAGACAGATGTGGGAAGGTTAGACTGCAGCATGGTTATATTCTTCCAATAAACAAATTTGAGGAATTTTGACTATGAAAATGAGTTATGATGGACATTATAAACCCCTAAAGAAACTATATATCATTATTTCATGTTGTGATTAGTAAGAGGATATTTAGAAAGTATCATAGGATACTTTGTATTCATTTAAAAGAGAAAACAAAGATAGAGGATAACTTGAAAACAACACTTTCATCTAGGGGTAGAAAAGAAAGCCAGTATTGATAGCCAGATGGAAATAATCACCATCTGACAGACTTTTCACTGATAATACAAAGTTTACACAATCTGAGGTAGATGCACACTGGTGGAGGTTGGAGTATCCCCCAAGTCCCAGGTGTGCAATGTCATAGTTCCAGGCTTCTGAAAGGCCCATTACAAGGAAATGATTAATGTTGAAAGTGATGGAAATGGATACCAGACACACTTAAATATGAAAGATTCCCTCTTGACATGGTTTTCATATGAAGTCACTGAGGTTGAACAGGTTGGACTGTGAATGCTGTGCCCATTGAACAAGGGCTCAGTCTCAGACTTCTGGGACATATGAAGCATATTTCCGGGCTTGACCCCAATCCACTCTCTTAATTAGATCCTGATCCCCAGGACAGAGAATGCAGAGACAACTGACTATGTGCAATTTTGTATCTTTCTCAGGTTGATCCAACCAAGAGTCAATGATAAAACTCTGCTAATGGCTTGATGGTTAGGCAGGGTTTGATGGACACAGAGAAGAAGCTAGATAAGGTAGAACTGGGCTTCTTCTGAACAGAAAGCACAGGATATGCTAAAGTTGTAGGCTTGGATGTGCTTGAAGGAAGTATTAAGAATTTCATTACAAAGAAGTCATTTGATTCATAGATCATTGGTTGGTTCTAATACTACTAAAGAGAGAAATTTTTCAAAAATTCCTTATGGTTTATCTGAAGTCTCCTGGTCTTTATATTCTGATAATTGTTCTCCTGGTCATTATAGATTGTATTTTGTCATACTGTCACAGATTCTTCATTTCCACTCAGAGTCACTCTCACATTGATCTCAACATCTTCCTCCTAGGCAGACTCACACAATCTGCTGGGCTGCTCCCCAGACCAGCCAGCCATGAGGACAGCTCACCCAGCCAGATGGGAGGTTTTTGTTCAAGGCTGTATCACTGTGGGAGGATCATGTGTAGCTTGCATGCAGTAATAAACTCCAACATCCCCAGCTTCCACCCTGCTGATTGTCAGTGTGAAATCTGTGCCTGACCCACTGCCACTGAATCTGTCTGGGACCCCAGATGCTCGTTTGGAAACCAAATAGATCAGAGGTTGTGGAGACTGGCCTGGCTTCTGCAGATACCAGTCCAAATAGGTGTTTCCATCGCTAGACAGAAGGCTCTGACTAGACCTGCAGGAGATGGAAGCCAGCTGTCCCAGGGTGACAGGTAGGGAACTCGGGGTCTGGGTCATCACAACATCTCCACTGGAACCTGAAATTAGAATAAGACAGAAGTGCAAGGTTATATATAATCATAGAGAACCATGTGTTTATTACTATTGTTTAGATAAATATTGCCTCTTGTTCATAGTCATGATTTGATTTATAAACTCAAAATACTAAATATTAAAAAGATATATGTTTGAAGCACAAAAGTGTCTGTAGAAGTCAATGACAGTATTCCTTCCCAGCAGAATCTTTACCCAAGCACAGGTACTCATTCTGGAATGTTCTCACTCTCTCAGACCTACACATTATTTGTCCTATCATGAACATCTAACACATGAATAAGGCACAACTGGGCCCTGAGAGCTCTCCCTTCTGCCCTCTCTCATTTCTCATCTCCCTTTGTCCTTACCAGGGATCCAGAGCATTAACAGCCACAGGAGCTGAGACAAGGACTTCATTTTTGGAGTAAAATGAGGAGTCTTGACAGATCAAGGCAAGTTCAGATCTGAGCCTTTATCTCAGATTTAGAAAGGAAGGTCCTCTTTAGAGAGCAATATGCAAATAGCCAGGTGGGTGCAGCAGTGTGAGGAAAGAAAAAGGGAAGGTAAAGCTTGCTCTTCTGAGAAAAGTGTCAAGTGTGTTCTGAGTTTGATGATAATCAATAAAAATCCATGATACCTGTGGTACTAGGAGGGACCCCACTGTGAAAGTCTGGAACTGCAGGTTCCAGAGAGTGCACATGTTCCTACCACCATACTAAATGTATAAGTCAGGACAGTCTTTTGGAAAGAATGGACACTGGGCCTGGCTCTTCTGGCTTCCCTCAGCTAGTCTAGAGAAAGACAGAGTGCACACTGTCAGCAGCTCTGATCCTCAGGGAATTGACCAATATGAGCACAGAGTAGAGGGGTAAGAAGAAGCAAGGATAATATCTACAATTGTTAGAAATTCTGTTTCCAAAGAACTTCCTATTAAGACTTAAAGAAATGTCAAGGAGAACAGGATTTTCTTTTATAGAGAGTGAACTAATAATACAGATAGTAGAATTTATAAGGGAAAAGTAAAATGGTAGAATATTTATATCAGAGAATGGGACTATATATATATTAAATTTTCAAATTTAATTTTTTAATTTTTAAAATCCACTAAAGATCCTTTCATTGTCATACACTATATTTGTACAGCAAATTAATTAAAGGTTTTATTGAATGTTCCCTCTAGAAAGTAAGGGAAGGGTGAAATTGATCAAGATGCATTGTACTCAAACACTGACATGCTGAGGCAAAACCCCTTTGTGTAACTTCTGATGCATAATCATATACATATAATTTATGATTAACTTAAATTAGTACTTAACATTTAAATGTCTCTAGTTTCGATCTAATTTAACCCAATATTTGCATAATTATCTCAGAGTTTTCATTGTCTTCTTCTTGTTTCCAAAGATGCTGGGCCTATCTGAGGCAGCTCATCACGTGGGAAGAGGGAGCATCTGGAGAAGGAGGCTTGTACTGATGTCCCAAGGGTCTCCACTTGGCCATTGGAAAAGGTGTCTTGTAGGAAGTGATTACATCAGGGGAGTTCCTGCACTCTGGAGGATTAAAGTTGCTCTCCTGAAGTGAGAGTAGGTTCAACAGTAGTTGTTTGTGATAAAAGGAAGGCAATCATATGCTTGACCACTTCAACTTGCGGCTGGTTCTCTTTTCATAGACACACCATATTTTCCCACAAACATGACAGGCATTACCTGATGAGAACACTGATGAGAATATTACATCTAGGGCTTTCTGCATCTTAAATTCTTTTTTATCCAGAGCTTAGCTTTGTTATAGAAAATGCTGGAAATGTGGTTTAGTGTAGAGTGTTTGCCTAGCATGTATGAAGCCCTGGGTTCAATTTCTCAGTACCACATCCACAGGGAAAAATATCCACAAGTGGTGCTGCAATTCAAGTGGTAGAACACTATCCTTGAGCAAAGAAGCTCAGGGACAGTGCCCAGGCCCTGAGTTCAGTCCCAGGACTTGCAAAAAAGGAAAGAAAAAAAAAGAAAAAGAAAAGAAAAGAAAAAAGTAAGAAAAAAAGAAAAGAACTGATACTGGTGTGTGTGTGTGTGTGTGTGTGTGTGTGTGTGTGTGTGTGTGTGACAGAGAGAGAGAGAGAGAGAGAGAGAGAGAGAGAGAGAGAGAGAGAGAGAGAGAGAGAGTGAGTGTAATGCTTCAAATAGAAACAATCTAAAATGGGCTAACTGAGGAGTAAAAACAATCTCTACCTGTGATACTAATCTTGTGCAGAATGATACAATTGAGGATACAATTTATTAGAAATTTCCATAAGTTACATGAATTATTCTATTAGTTCACATATATTGCAGATCGTATTTCTCCTATGAATGTTATCTCAGTGGCATCATAGTATCTCCAACTTCATCCTTTAGTTTGAGATGGCTTTGAGAGCATCACGGTAAAACAGTTTACACCACCGGAGGCAGATGCACACTGGACACTGGTGGAGGCCAGACAATCCTCGAGTCCTCGGCTGTACAGTATCATAGTTCTGAAAGGCTCATTACAAGAAAAAGACATTATTTAATGGGATCAAAGTAGATAAAAGACTAACTAATGCATTGATGATTCCCTCATGTCATGGTTTTTCAAATAAAATCACAAAGGCTGACCAGGTAGGGCAGTGAATGCTATGTCCATTGAACAAGAGCTCAATCTCAGACTCTCTGGAACCTATGAACACTATTACAGGATTTCACTAGACACTCCCTTTTAAAGTACCAGAGTACCAGGACACAGAAGGCCAGGGACCACTGTACAAAGTCCAGTACTGTAACTGTTCCAGGTTGATACAGCCAAAGGACAGTTATCAAACTCTGCTAATAGTTTGATGGACAGGTAAGACTTGGGAAACACAGAGAGCAGAAGCTAGAAAATGCATAACTGGGCTTCCAGATTCTGAATATAAAGCAAAGCATATGCTATAAGTATGGACCAAGATGGTATGCTTGACGGAATTACTATAATTTTCATTACAAAGGGAACAAACTTACATTGCAGCAGACATTTGATTCTTATATTGCTAGCTAGCCATCATTCTACTTAAGACACAAGGAATATTTCCAAGTAATACCCCATGGTTGATCTGAAGTCTCTTGGTTTTGTTCTTCCATGATTATTCACTTGGTCTTTGTAAGTTGTATGTAGCCACATACTCTTCTACTCTCGGAGTCATCTCACCTTGACCATTGTATGAGTCTCCTACACACACTCAATCTGTTCTGCTGTGCCCCTAGACAAGTAACCCATGAAAGTAACTCACCCAGTCAGATGGGAGGTTTTAGTTCAGGGCTGTATCACTGTGGGAAGAAAATGTGTATCTTGAAAGCAGTAATAAACTCCAACATCCCCAGGCTCCACCCTGCTGATTTTCAGTGTGAAATCTGTATCTGACCCATTGCCACTGAATCTGACTGGGATACTAGATGCTCAGTTGGAAACTCCATAGATAAGGAGTTGTGGAGACTGGCCAAACTTCTGCAGATACCATGCCAGATAAGCATCATTACTCTCTAGGAGGCTCTGAGTAGCCCTGTAGGAGAAGGAGGCCAGCTCTCCCAGGGTGACAGGCAGGGAGAGTGGAGTCTGGGTCAGCACAACATCTCTACTGCATCCTGAAATTAGAGTAAGTTAGAAGTGCATGGTTATGTACAACTATAGGGGCATATACATTTATTACATCTAATTTGATATATATATATATTTGCCTATTATTCATATTTCATGATTTAAACCAGAATCTAAAATACTAAATATTTGTAAAACTGAGACTTTTTAAAGCATAAATGTGTCTCTAAGTGGCACCAGTGGTATTCCCACCTAGCAGAGTCTTCAGCCAAACAAAGGCTGAAGCTCTTTTTGGAAAGTTCCTTATTTTCTCAGACCTAAATGTCACTTGCCCATCATGATAACGAGATCTGCACATCTAACACATGGATAGGGCATAACTGGGCCTGAGAACTCACCCTTCCATCTCACTCTCATTCCTCAACTTCCTTTGCCCTTACCAGGGATCCAAAGCACTAACAGCCACAAAAGCTGAGAAAAAGACTTCATTTTTAGGAGTGAAAAAAGGAGTCTTGCCAATCAACGCAAATTTAGACAACCACGCTGGAAAGCAATATGGAGTTTCCTCAAAAGACTAAACATAGAGCTTCCCTATGACCCAGCAAACCCACTCCTGGACATTTATCAACACTAAAGCTACCAGCACAACTATGTTCACTGCAGCATTATTTAGTATAGCTAAGATATAGAATCAACTCAGATGTTCCTTATTAGATAAATGGATCGAGCAAATATGGTATACACACACACACACACACACACACACACACACACACACACACAGACACAATGGAATTCTGTGCTTCCATGAGAAAGAATGATATTGTCCCATTTGTAAGGAAATGGAAAGACTTGGAAAAATTATATTAAGTGAAGTAAGACAGAACCAAAGAAACATAGGCTCATGGTTTTCCTCATCCATAATAATTAGTATATGCCTAGGATAGTCCTAGTAGAGGTTCACAATAGCCCAATATCTCTGTATATATGACCATATAAAATGATGATAAACAAAATGCTCATTATCTTGCCCATGTAATTGTAACTCCTCTGTATGGTATTTTCACAATAAAAAAAGAAAAAATGATCTTCACGATTTGGCAACAAGGGGGGTTAATTTTTTGTTGCTATTGTTGTTTTCTTTTTCTTTTCTTTCTTCTTTTTTGTTTTTTGGGTTTTTTTTCGGGGGGGGGGCGGTCATGGGGCCTGAACTCTGGGCCTGGGTGATGTCCCTCAGCTCTTCAGCTCAAGACTAGCGCTCTACCACTTGAGTCACAGTGCCACTTTCGGGTTTTTTCTTTTTGCTTATTTGGTGATGAGGAATCGAACCCAGGGCCTCAGGCATGCAAGGCAAGCGCTCTACCACTGAGCCAACTTCCCAGCCCCTCTTTTCTTTTTTTAAAGTGTACTGTTGGCAGTTATTTCTTTTGTCTTGCTTTTTATCCCTCTGATTTATTCCACATGTTCATGATTTCTGATTTTTGATACCCTTTGTCTTATATACAGTCTATCTGTTTTGGAGAAGGGAAGAGGAATCACAGAAACAAAGGGTTGGACAAAGGGTGAACCAATGCTTCAGTGATATAGACACTATATTGACAATTAACTTTACAACTTGGGAGTATGGAATAGTTGGGTTAGGGAAAGCAGGAGAAAATGAGGAAGGAGGTAACACTGTTCAAAAAGAAATGTTCTAATCTTATGACCATATGAAATGATGCTAATTGAAATGAACTTCAAGATATGGAAGCAAAAGTGTTTTTAGGTTTTGTTTTGGATTTTCTATTTTATTGTAATGTGTGAAGTTATTTGTTTTTGTTCCATTCACTTGTTGCCTTTTGCCACAGGTTTTTTGTTTTTGTTTTTTTTATTGTGAGAATACTGTACAGAGAGTTACAATTACATGGGCAAGATAACGAGTACATTTCTTATCAAGTATTGTTGCCTCCTCTTTGTTTCCCCTACCCATCCCCTCCCATACTCCCCCCGACACCCGCACCCCCCACCCCACCAAAGTTGTAAAGTTCGTTTTTCGACATAATGACTTATGTCATTGTTGCAATTGGGTCCACCTGTATCCCTAGTTAAATGATTTGTTTTTACCCTCCCCTCCACAAATTATACCAACATAAAATACAGTGAAAGCAGGGGTTATACCCTGGGGGAGGGACATACAAAGCAACAAATAAATCATTTTATAAATATGTTAGAAACAATTGCATGAAAGAAAAAAAAAACATTTGAATACTTATCTTGGGGTTCATTCCCCTAACATCAATTTATTTGACCTTTTCTGCTTGACTCAGACATATACTAGGGAAATAAGGGAAGCCATGGGATCTATGTTTCTTTGGGCCTGGCTTACTTCACTTAATATAATTTTTTCCAAGTCTTTCCATTTCCTAACAAATGGTACAATGTCATTCTTTCTGATGGAGGCATAGAATTTGATTGTGTATATATACCACATTTTCTTGATCCATTCATCTACTGAGGGGCATCTGGGTTGGTTCCATATCTTAGCTATGGTAAATAATGCTGCAATAAACATAGCCATGCAGGTAGCTTTAGTATGGTCTTGTTTGTGATCATTTGGGTAAATGCCCAAATGTTGGATTGCTAGGTCATAGGGGAGCTCTATGTGGAGTCTTTTGAGGAACCTCCATAATACTTTCCAAAGTGGTTGAACAAGTTTACACTCCCACCAACAATGCAGTAAGGTTCCCTTCTATCCACATCCCCTCCAGCATTTGTTGTTATTAGAGTTCTTGATTAGAGCCATTCTAACTGGGGTGAGGTGGTATCTCAATGTTGTTCTTTTTTTCCTTCATGTTTCCATTGGTTTATTCCCTGTTGTCACTGTTTTTTATTTTGGTACTTTGTATCTTGTATAAATGTATTTCTGATTTGGGGAAGGGAAGGGGAAGAACAAAGTGGTGAGACAAAGGACAAAGAATGAACCAATGTAATAGTAATACTCACAGACATTTTGGAAATGAGCTTTACAACTTGGGGTGGGGAGGGAAGTAGAGGGAAGGGAAAGTGGGAGAAAATGAGGAAGGCGATAACAATGTTCAATAAGAAATGTACTCATTACCTTACATATGTAACTGTAAGTCCTCTGTACATCACCCTTACAATAAAAAAAACAAACTTTTACATGGTCAAATATTATTTCTTCAATTTCTGAAGAAATATTTTTGAAGAATCGAAATGACCTTCAAAGTTTTAGAAGTCAGTAACAAATTCATCAATACCATAGGTTTTCTTGATTGAAATGCATTTAAATGAAAATTAACTAATATGTATATATTCAATTTGATTGCCTCTTCCTTCCCTACATAGATTTGGTATTTTGTATCTTTGACTCAATCATCTAAAGTTGTTTATTACTGCACTTTTAAATTGTACAACTCTGGGATTGCTGATAAAATACTCATCTTTGTTTTAAAAAAATAAATTGACTCATTATTTTATTTTTGTAACTGTAACCCCTCTGTACATCATGTTTACAATAAAATAAATTTTAAAAAAGGAAAACTTCCCCAATGTTAGAATTTCAAATAGAGCATCCACCAGGCACCTAAGACTGGTTCACTCCCATCAACTGATAAAGTGATACCTACTCCTCTGCAAGGCCTTAGGAAACAAGCACAGAGATAATGGACCAACAGCAGTGACTAGAAGCACTTAAATATTATGCATAGCTCTTTCCCTAATCACAGTTCTTTGTCTATTGAAACCTAGATGTACTGTCAGTACCCTGAAGACTACTAAAGATGGGTTAAATTCTGTCTTCCTGTCTTTTGCATGCTATGTAACAAATCTTCTTTTGCCCTGTATATCCCTTTATTTAATACATAGAGGAGTGGCCAGACCTTGCACGGGGAACTTTAGCAGTTTGTGCCTAGAGTATTAGAACTCTGGTTTTGAAACCATAAGGAAGAATTAATCTACCAACCATTTCCATGTAGTCTATTAATTCTATAGAAGCCCTTCCTAATCCTCATATTGGGTCACCAGTCCTCTCTTGTGCCTCAGCTGTCTCTCAACAGCATCCTAATAAATCTTTACATCTTTGCTACCTTGTTTGGTTAATGCTTTTGCCAACCCATGAGTAACACCTGCCACCACAAAGACCCTTCTGCAGTTGTTCATAGCAAACATCATCCTTCCAATCAAAAGCTACATGGTAAATTTTCATGACAAGGATGATTTATAGCTTAAGATCTATCTATGTGCTGTGTGGATTGAAAACTCTTTCCATTCTGTTATTGACTAAAATTCCATTGTATGGAAGTTTCACAGGGCTTATAAATTTCAAGAAGATTGTTATTGTTCACCTGGGTTTGCAAGCATGAAGAACAGCACTTGTGAAGACTCAGGGTCATTGTTGAAGGGGCAGAATGATGCAGGCTCCAGCCTCAGGATTATCTGAGGACTGTGTTTGAGTATTAGAAAAGCTCTTGGCATGCTGGGCTAGAGAGGGAACATGTTCTCTCTCCCTATCTCAAAACACATGTCACAGACTCCTAGGTGCTGAGGAAGTAGCTCTTCTGCTTGCTTAAGCATAGATGAACAGCTGGTCAAGCATTTTCCTGAGATTGGAGAAGTGGTTTGAACTTGCTCTAAAATAGTTTAGATAATAATATATCAAGACATTGTCTCATAGGTCAAGTAAAAATGTAACTGTTGAAATTTGTGTATGAATATCTTCTGACCAAATCTTGGCAAAGATTATGCTTGCTTATCTTTAAATACCCACTAACAATAAAGCACAGCATGCAGTGGCAATTGCTGTTTGCACTCTGCATCCCCTGTGTCCTGGTGATTTTGTGACCCTTACCCAGGGACCCCAATGCACTAGTCGTTGACAATTGGTGCCAGAACAGGGACCCTGCATTGTTGATTTCAGGAAGGGATATTCAGGTAAGTACTTTTAATTACAGGGTAATGGGACAAGTTAAGTCTACTCCGTACTTACATATGCTTAAACATTTACTTGCTGCTTATGGTGTAAATATTTCTTCTTCTGACATAGAAATATGTATTAAAGTACTTAGGGAATGGAATCCTTGGTTCCCTGATGAAGGAACATTAGATGTTGATAATTGGAAACGAGTAAAGAATAATGTAGAAAGAGCTGTTCGAGAAGGGGAAAAGATTCCTATTAGATTTTGGTCCATTTGGGCTATTTTACATACCCTTTTTAAAGCTTTGAATGAGGAAAGAATAATAGCAGACTTAAAGAAAAAGGCCACTCCTTCTTTTGTAGATTTACAATTGGACTCTGAGGTTAAGGATGCAATAGATAAGGATGCATTGCAATTAACAGAGAAAAAACAAGAGGTAAAAAGGCTGAAAAGGAACAAATTGAAAGTGTAAATAAAATGTCTGAGCAAATGGAATTGATTTTATCAAAATTACAACATATGGAGTTGGAAATTAGCAGAGTGAAAAGAGAACCTGAGAAAGTGAAAGTAAAGCAGCCTTCGGCTCCTCCGTCATTCCCTCACAAAACAGAGGGCTCAGACAGTGAGTTTGATGAGGAAATGCCTATTTTTTCTTATCCTGTAATTCGACCATCCCCTATGAATGCTATAGCTCAACCAGCCAGATATGAAGATGTTGCTGTTGATGATATTGGTAAACTTAAGAAGGCAGTGACATTGTATGGTCCTCAGTTTCATTATGTTAAGGAATTGCTTAATGGACTTGCTCGACATTACAATAATTTTGCTCCCGAGGATTGGAAGATGCTTTGTTGACTTTTGCTTAAGGAACCTAAATACCTACAATGGCAAATGTAGTTTACTGAGTTATGTACAGAAAGGGCTAGACAAAATGCACAGAGCAGTAATCCACGCCTTCAGGTCATAACCTTTCCCATGTTGAGTGGAACAGAACAATATGCAGATGCTCATATGCAAGTAAACTCTCCTGAAGAGATCCATGAGCAGTTATGACACATAGGTATTGAGGCATGGGAAAGGATTCAGCCGGTAGGAGAGCATTATGGCTCTTGGACTAAAGTAATTCAAAAACCTAATGAACCCTATGTTGTCTAGAGCCCTGCAGGGAGTCTCTCTGCATGATAAGCTTGACTATCTGGCTGGAACATCTCTCCAGGCTATTTACAGAATCTGGTCTTTGCATCCTGCCCCAAACAAAGACCAGGTAGCTGCTATTGACCACCTTTTCACATTGCCCTAAGCAAGCATCCTGCAGCTGCTATGCCCAATGAAAAAGCTTCCTTATTCTAAGCATATAAATACCCCTGTGTGAAAAATAAAATTTGGCAGCTTGATCAGAATCCTTGTCTTGCTGTCCTTCTTTGTGTCTCTTGTCCCTTCATTCCTTCTCACTTAGGTTCATTGCCCTGGTTGAAGTCCTGCGGGTCGGGACACTATGTTGAATTTTTATCATGATTGAAATTGACCTTGGAAGTTACTGTTGTGGGAGAGGCTGCATGGCAACAACTGCTGCGCATGCTGGCTTATGAGAATGCTAATGAGGCCCGTAGACAGGCCCTATTGCCTATTAAAGAATCTGGGGATGTGAGTATATATTTAAGGGCCTGCAAAGACATTACATCTGAATCCAGGCGTATGCAGGTGTTTGCTGAAACTATGGCCACTACCTGGCATGCTTTGCAAACAAAACCCTCTAATCTAAAGTGTTTTGGATGTGGTCAAATGGGACATATAAAGAAAAATTGTAAAAAGGCTGCTGATATTAACAAGAGAGGACCAGGAATTTGCCCTAAATGTAAAAAGGGGAAGCACTGGGCAAGGGAGTGTAGATCAAAAATAGACCATAAAGGAATTCCTATAAAAGATGCTTACCCTATGCAGGGAAACTCCATAGGGCCAGCCCCGGACCAAGGGCGGCCAACCATCTTTTCCCTCGTCCCTGTCACAGCCCACATTGCCGCAGTGGACATACCAGCCTTAATAGATTTTATTTTGAAAGGTGGTGATAAGCCACAAAAAATTCCTACCGGAATTTATGGGCCTTTACCTGAAGGAACATTTGGACTATTGACTGGTAGATCCAGTCTTAATGCAAAAGGAGTTTTAGTACATTTAGGAATTATTGATGCTGACTATATTGGGGAAATAAAAATTTTAATGTCAGCTGCTGCAGATATTTCCTTTAAAAAGGGAGAACGAATTGCTCAGATTTTGTTATTACTATATATATCTATTGGAAAGTCATTTATACCCCGCATTGGGGGATTTGGAAGTACTAACCAACAAAATGTGTTTTGGACTACTCATATTACTAAAATGCAGCCTAAGATTAATATTCAGGAAAAATATTGAAAGGACTAATAGATACTGGCTCAGATATTACAATTATTATCACTCATGACTGGCCTAATCATTTATTATATGAAATAATCCCTGTAATATTAAAGGAGTTAGCAATACTCCTGTAAATTCTATAGGACAAGCAGTGTCTTATGTTACTATAACCTCAGAAGACTGACAGACAGCTGTCCTTAAACCTTATATTATGGAAGTTCCAGTTAACATAATTGGTAGAGATGTACTGGAACAATGGGGAGCTCATGTTCAATTTTAAAATTTTTAGATGGAGCCCATAAAGATATTATGGAAATCTGAGGAACCTCTGTGGATTGAACAATGGCCTTTATCTAAAGAAAAATTAGAAGCAGCTCATCAATTAGTTGAAGAACAGTTAACCAAAGGACAGACATATTGAGCCGTCTATGTCACCATGGAATTCTCCAATATTTGTTATTAAAAAGAAGTCAGGGAAATGGAGATTGCTGACTGATTTATGAGGAGTTAATGCATCCATGTACCCCATGGGGGTTTTACAACCTGGTATACCATTGCCTGTCATGCTTCCTAAAAATTGGCCAATAATAGTAATAGATTTACAAGATTGCTTTTTTATCATTCTTGTACATGTAAAAGATTGTAAAAGATTTGCCTTTTCTTTACCACAAATAAATCATCAAGCCCCTCATCAGCGCTTCCAATGGAAGGTGTTGCCCCACGGAATGATGAATTCTCCAACTATATGTCAGATATATGTTGATAAGGCCTTAAAACCTGTTAGACAAAAATGGCCTCACATTTATATTTCTCATTATATGGATGATATTTTATTTGCAGGACCAAATATGACAGAATTAGAAATGGTGTTACAGTGCTTACCCTCTATATTTAAAGATTTTGGATTAATAATAATAGCACCTGAAAAAATACAAAAATATACGGTGGTAAAATATTTAGGATACGTTGTTTCTAGACAAACAGTAGCACCTCAAAAAATGTCTTTACGACGTGATCAATTACATACGTTAGATGATTTTCAAAAGCTATTAGGAGATATTAATTGGATGTGACTGGCCTTAGGAATTCCTACTTATCAATTACATAATTTGTTTTCATTGTTACAAGGGGATCCTGATTTACATAGCAAAAGAACTCTAAGGAAGCTGAAAGAGAATTACAATTTGTAGAACAGAGAATAAAAGAAATGTTTTTACATCGAGTAACGCTAAAGTAGTTGTTTGTACCCAATATTTATTTGTTGTCCAATAAGCACTTTTTGTTTTGGAGCCATCTGTAAAAACGGTAAGAGTAGTGGTAATTATATCATTAATGACAAATTGTTGTTTATGCAAGCAATCTCACAATCTACCTTTGGGAAAATGATAGGAAAATTATCCAGTAAAATTTACTAATGATATTTGTAGCATTTCAGACATGTTTAACAAATATTTTACTTGGTCTTTTGGCAAGGGAAAGATAATTTTAAATAAATCATACCCTGATAGGGTAAATACCCATTGCCTGGCCTGGTGAATAATAATTGCCAACTGTTGTTCATAAAGCATAATATTTTTTGTAAATCTATGCCGTGTATAAATCCATTTTAATGGTAGCTCACTTTGTCCTATAATTCCTGTTGGATGTTTCCATGTATCTAAAATATATAAATTTATGGTTGATTATGTTAAGGAATTGCTTAAAGGATTTGCTCGACATTACAATAATTTTGGTCCTGAGGATTGGAAGATGCTTTGTTGAGCCTTGCTTAAGGAACCCGAATACCTACAAGGGCAAATGTGTTTTACTGAGTTATGTACAGAAAGAGTTAGACAAATGCACAGAGCAGTAATCCACGCCTTCAGGTCATAACCTTTC